GAAGTCTGCTGGTTTCATCCATTCTTTTCATGGCCTGGAGCAGCCAGCTGTATTTCAACTATCCATGTTGTATTGGACTGCTCTGAGGTCTGGGTTAAAGGAATGACCTATAGCTACTGTGAGGTTTTAGCAGAGCAGCAGTGGCTGCTGCTTGTGAAGGTAAAGAAAGTCAAACCTTTTGAAGGACTGATGTGGTCATGGATTTCTTTTAAACTTCTGCTTACTATTTTACATTGTGAGTGTCTTATGTAGCTGTCAAAATGAATTAACGTATATGCATTGGAATTCAACATGTATACTGTTGGATAGAAATAAATTAAGATCAACCTGTAGATTCCCTGCAGCTTCTGTCATTTGTGGCTGGTTGCTGTGTGGATGAAAAGGAGCTGACTGAGCTACTGGCTGGATAAGGCTTGATACAGCTTGAGAATAATGGTAAAAGAAAGTTGCCTTCCTAGTCTGTTGAAGAACAAGTACCCTAGTGACATCATGTGTGGATTTTTAAAATCTTGTATTTCTTTTGGCTTTGTGATGATTTTTGTATGCAGAAAAAGCCCCACTAAAGCATAACACCTCATCACTTTTTGGGAAGGATTAGGTCCCTTTTTCCAGTCAGTCGTAGTCTCTTTTACTGGTACTATTACCTCTGTAAAGGGCAATTACCATGTGCTATGTGTAGTGTTAAATCTGTGAGCAGCTTGCATAAAGGTGCTGAACATGATCAATTTAGTGGCTTGGCTGCCATGATCCAGATGAGTTTTTCAGTTAGCTTCTAGTTGTGCTTCAGTGTCATGATTTTGTTGTTTCTCAGGGTGGGGGAAAAGAAGTTTGCATCTCTTTGTGTGATCTCCTGCTAAGTGATTAACTTGGTGTCTGGCAGCAGTTAAATAAAGAGATCAGAGCGTAACCAGATACCTGTATGGACATTGTGTTCCAGGCAGTACTGTGAAGGACACTGAACTCCTTGGTGTTCTCAGGCTTTGTCCTACAAATACTTAAATTCCATTAGTGTTGTTACAAGGGTAAATTCTTGTCTTCTGTTATTTTCCAGCTAGGTCTTGGAATGTTTTAATGGTGCAGGTTTTTTTCTTTAAGAAAATATGCACTTTTTTATTTATGGTATTGTGCACTTCATTTAAGGCAGTTATTATTAGTATATACTGTAATTATGATATCTTTGTTAATTGTTGTGATAGTGAGAGCATAGTGAGAGGACTAGAAGGAATGATCATAAGCTGACAAGGGAGACTCAGATTACATGTTAGGAAATTTTTTTCCCTGTTAGGGTGTTCAGGCACTGGAATAGGTTGCCCAGGGAGGTGGTGGAGTCACCATCCCTCGAAGTGTTTCAGAGGCATCTGATCTGACACTGGAGGATATAGTTTAGGGTTTAGGGGTTACAGCAGAGTGGCAGGTTCATGATGATCTTAGAGGTCTCCTCCAACCTTGATGATTCTGTGTTTCTAGTCACAGTTGTACCTTCTGAGCGAGTGCAGTCTTTCAATCCAGTTCCTTGATGTGGATAATTAATTCTGAAGCCAGGATATGTGTTATGTTATCCATGAATTCAACAGAGACCATCATTGAAAGTTTTAAAATTTGAATAATAGGGATAAAAAGATAGTTTGAACCATGCACTATTTTCAAATCCTCCTATTTTTCTTATGGTCTTGGGCAAGTTGTTTCACGTTTTCCATTGACTTGTTTGTGAAGTAGTTTCTCATATGATGGGAGGTCTCTGAAGTACAATTGCAACAGTTAAGACAGTTTAGCTCCTTTGAAATGTTGTAATTATTCTAAATCTTATGAAGTGCATTCTTCTAAAGTGAATTTGGCACTTTGTTCTGCACAAAGCATTTGGAAAATTGAAACGGTGTTACCCAAAAGAAGTTGTAATCATATTTTCATTTTCTGTGTTGAGTACTGGAGCTGCACATAAACCACTGAGTACAATTTTTTGGGCAAGAGGACAGAATCTTGTTTTGCACTGTACAAATTAAAATGCTAATAATAATCTTAAGGATTGCAGAATGGGATATTTATTGGTGAGGGAGAAAACCATGATCTCAAAGACCAAGTTTTTATAATGAAGATATGTTCTCAGTAATTGCAGGTACGCACGAGGACCTGTGCATTTTGGTGCTGCCTATGGCAATCTGGAATACAGTCAGGAAGCTTTCAGGAGGGCAGAATCTCATGTTGGCAGTTCCATGTTTGTAAAAAGTTAATCCCTCTTAAAATACCTGAATTGTAATGCATGTGGAACTGGAAGCAGTGTTGATTTTAATCCTTAACCCCTAGTTTTGGGTGAGGAAACTTGAAGCATAGAGAAGTCTGGTGATGGTGTGATGTGGCACTCGTTTTATCAGGCAATTTCTTCTGCATCAGTCTTGAAAAGCTTTTATAAAAGCTGTTAAGTTGCAGCCTCTTAAGGTATGGAGTTCCCTTTCAGTTCTGCTTTGCTGTGTGTGCTCAGATTCAGTGAGCACATTGCCACCACTGGCCTGGGGTGGCTGTTTGATAGAATCTGCTTGATTAAACCTTGCTCTGTGCCACTTGCTCCCTGTGCACACACAAATGCCTACACAGCAGGACCTTCGAGTTAGTTGACCTGCTCCTGAGCCAATGTTTCTGTGCACCAGCTGAAAATGGTTACAGACAAAAGCCTTTACTGCTGCTTGGCTATCCCCAGCACGGGTGGCTTTTGCCTCCTACCAGAGCTGTGTAGTTTGTTGTTGTTTGGATTTGTTTTTTAAACTTAATTATGCTTGCTTCACTCTGGTGAAAAATGCACTGATATAGGATCTGTTGGAGAAGGATTTTTGAAAATTTTCCTGAAAACTTTCCTGCTGTGTAACTCGGTACAATTTCTTGAAACATGTTCAGAGTTCACTAGAGTTTTTCTGTATATTCAACATGAAACAGAAATACTTCCCTCGGCCTCAAGTGTTTCGTAAGAGCATAGGTCTTTAGGGAGTTGAACAGTGTACTTTCTTATCACACACACCATTTGATAATATTTATTGGGTTCTTACAAGTGGGGAAATGGCTAATAAAGTACTCTGGTGTTTTTTCTGTTGGACACTTCATTGAGTAACCAGAACTGTGTGTTTCATCAGATTGCACTGGCTGACTTGATATTGAAGTTTTGAATGTATTTATTTCTTTCTCAAATTATCTTGAGATTATTATTGAACGGGGAAAATTATTAGCTAAAACACCACTTGGTGGAGATCTTTTGGAAAGCACTTTAATCAGCTATTATGTTTCCATAATAAGAGCAGTTAACTTTGGAAAAGTGTTCATACAGACTTGCATTTCTGCCAGAGCAAATGGAGAGTATTCAAAGCAGGCTGGGTTTGATTCTGAAGAATTTTGTCAGATGTAGAATGTGGTATCTTTGGAGTTCTTTATCCCTGACATCCATTTAAGTATTTATTCTAAATGTTTCATTATCCCCATTTTTGCTAATTGTTTACAAAACCTGGTGTCCTAGAACTGTCTGGTTTGCAGCTCAGTGAGTCTGCCTTCTTTTTCCCCATGCCATAATACCTTAAGCCCTTGGATTGTTTGTGGTTTTTTTTTATAAACATCTTTCATAGTTTCTTGTTTGTGTCTTAAAACCCTGCGTGGAGGGCTGTGTGTGAAGTGACAGACTCGTGGTGGTGGTGTTGGGCATTGCTGCTGAAGGCAGTGTGTGCTGGGCAGCACAGCTGGTCCCTGCAGTGACCTCCAGTCTGAAGGTCTGAGTAACTGGATGCAGTGACTGCATCTGTAGGACTAGATGAAGGGTTTTGTGTCTGTGGGATGCTGTGCCTGGGTAAGTAGAGGTGCTGAAGCAGGATATACTGCAGTGCTGGAGTGGCTGGTTTGGGATGCAAGCTGTTAGGTGTGCATGGGGTTGTTCTGGAGCTTGTAGTTTAAACATGGCCACAGTTTAAAAGCCATGATCAGTTTTAAATGTCCAGAGTTGGTTTTGGTTCTGCAGACAATATAATTTTGTCTTCACAGTCTCAGTAAGTGATCTGAGTTATGGGGGTAGTACTTTGCAGTGTAAATAAATCTGCATAGATAGCAGAACCATGTATGAGAGGGGATGGGCATTTATTATTTACTCTTTAAAATTTGGGCTAATTAATGAATCAAAAGCAATGTGAGATGGGGTATGATCTTATTACCTGTGAAGTTAGACATTTCTTGGTTCTGAATCTTGAGCTGAGTTCTTCTAAATGACTAATTCATGAAAATAAAATGCTGCTCGGTGGGGAGCAAGGAAGGAATCTGAATTATCATGTTAGTAGAACCTGGTGAATTCTTCTGCTTAGGAAGCAGATGTGTCCACTTCTGAAGTTATTCCTGAAGGTTTATGTGGTAAATACAGCTTACAAGCTATTAATACAGTATTTGGCCTAATTTTAGTTATGGTGGCTTGTTAGGCTTTCTTTTGCCTTTGAAAAATGTTGAGTGATGTTCTCTCCTCCTCCCCAAGGAGAGATTCAGAAGTTACATACTCTAAATTACCATGATGTGAGGCTACTTCATTTCAACTAGCATAGAGGAAGTTTGTTTCAGGATCAATCTAATGTTGGTTGTTAAGATTTGCACCTGAGTGTCTGAATGGGTGAATACTCTGAGGGTAGTTGCAAGGCATGTTGGAAGTTGCTGTCCTTCCCATTTCTCCACAGAAAGCTGTCTGTGCAGAATGAGAATCTATTTCTCTCTTTCACAGCTGCAAAATAATTTAGGTCACCTCAAAGTAACCCATACCTTTAGTTTCAGCTGCAGAAGGATCTTCTCTTACTCCAAATCCAGATATTTCCAAGACAGTTTTCCAGGCATGGCTTTTAATATCCAAGTGTCATTTATGCATAAAACCAGATTGGCTTTTCAGCTTCTTGATCCAGACCAAATTAAAATGTTTAATTCAACTTGTATCAATTGGTATAATATATGTCAGAGCTAAATATGTTCTTTCTCTCTTTTTTTTTGTATGTACAGAAAAGATGAAAAGGAGTATGCACTGAAGCAAATTGAAGGTACAGGGATATCCATGTCGGCCTGTAGAGAGATTGCAGTAAGTGTACATAAATGAAAGTATTTTTAATGACATTATTATTCAACAGGTATTTTTCCTAGAATTAAGTAACAGAAAGATGATTAAATCTAAATGTTTTCTTTAAAGTATGCGAGCATGAAAGTTTATTCAGATATAAGCCTTTTAAAAATGCTTTCTAAATCATACTTTTCTTTTTAGTGGAAAGAGGTGTTCTTACCAAGTGATAATAATACCTCTTTCAGGTATAATTTTGCTTCATCTGCTTTTGTGTTGAGAGGGAAATAAAGGTAATGACTTTTTAAATGAAGACTTATTTAAAAAGGAATGTTTTTCAAATAGCTTGAAGGAAAAAGGTTCTGAAAGATAACAACGACCACTACGAACCTGCTTGCTGATAATGTATTTTGTTTGAGACTTCTGGTAGCTTGTTCTTCTTTAGTACCTGAGAACGGATTGTTCTCCTCATTGCTTATTTGTTTTGCTAAATACAGAGAAATTTCATAGCAAAATAAAAACCGGCTTTAATTATATTTTTATTACATGTGTCTTGGGAGAAAAAGTGGGTTCAGGAATTGCACACTTAGGAGCACAGTAGTGCCTATCACTCCTTCAAATTTGGTTAAAATTAAGTGTGTATGAAGGTAGAATTTGATCTTTAAATGTTTTATGTCTGAAAATGTGTATTACAGTCACAATGTTGGATACAGAGTAAAATTTTGTAACGCAAGAATTTCCTGCATTGCAAAAGAGGTGCACTTGCTTGATTAAATATTTACCTGGTCTTCATGCTGTTGCTGTGCTGCTGAAAAGTATGTTAGGATTGCACCTAAAGCTTTTTATAATCTGGTAGTGTTGCACTCAGGTGTGCAATGCATTGTCCATGAGCTGAGCAAACCACTGTCTTGTGTTTAGTGTCGTGTCCATGGTAATTCTGTATGAAGAGACTTAACAGATACAAGTGCTATCCTTTTAAAGTGCTTATCACTGTAAGGTCAAGGTCACTCGTGGATTTGAGAGGTGGCCACATTGCTGTCAGTCACTTTACACAGGATTTACCCAGTGACCTTTTTTGCTCATATTCCTGCCTTTGGAGGAAACAAGAAATCCTACTTTAACATCAGTACTAGATTATATTCTTGCCACCCTAAAATTGGTTTTGAGGGTATTTTTGTTTCTGGATTTCTTGTCCTTTGTTTTAAATTGTGCTATTATGGAGATGATGTGTAGAACAGTCTGAAGGAGACTTGCCTGTTGTCATGGTAGTGCAGTGGTATGGAGCTGGTTCTGTCATCCCTGAACACAACAATATAAGGATGTAGAGAGTGTCAAATAATTTTTTACACTGATGATACATCACTATTTCAGTCTTCATTTTGAAAAAACCCCTCTTTTAATGTTTTTTTAAATTGGTAAGGCTTTGTGCAAAGCTCGGTACAGCCTGTGAAATTTGACATCTACTATTACTTGACTCCTCTCAACAGTTCTTCCTCTAGTTCTGTCTTGAATGGCATTTTGCTCTGCTTGAGACTTTATTGTAAAATACTATAACCTGAGCCAATGCAGCAAATGACCTTTTCCCTCAGTGAAATTTTGGGTTGATCATGTATTAGAAATGTGAAAAAAGGTAAAGCTGGAACAGTTGAAAAAGAAACACAGTTTTTTTCAAACAGAAACAAGCAGAATCAAGTGCATTTTCCGTAAAGAGAAGCAGACTTCTCATTAATGCGTTAATAGTTTATCTTGTATTTTAAGGGTTAGATGGGTAACAAAGCAGGTGATGTTTGCTGATTAAATAAAGATTATCAGCCTGGAGAGAGGCCATTGAAAAAATGTCATGAGTAGTTCTTTTGGCATTTAATTCACCCCCACCCTCCCCACAGCAACATAAACCAAATCCCCACCATGGAAGCTGAGAAAATGAAAGGAGCACCAGTGGACATGGTTGTGTGTGTATGTTCAGACTGTTTTAATAATTCTGTGATCTGAAGACACTTGACTGTACTCAAGAAATGCATTGCTGAAGTAAAAGTCATTCAGTTTTGTAGTCCAAGACCATTTTGTATGTAGTATTGTGTAAACAGTCAGAATAATACCTGCTGGCTAACTTTCCCAAAGAGAAAAGGCAGACAACTCCTCCCTTCAGACATTGCAAATCAAATTGGTCTGTCTTTGCTTGGGGCTTTGGAAACAAAGTCTGTCTTACCACTGTTCAGATGAGCTTTTCCTGGAAGTTTTGTCAGTGAAAACATCATATAAGCAGTGGTTCCTGGGGCAAGTGATTATTCCTTTATTTCAAGTGTAGGGTGATACCTGCTACAGGAATCCATTTCAGCCAATTCTGTTATATTGAATATGAAAGTATTAGAGGGGATTCTTAAATGTCCAAGAATTGTGTGTGTGTTCTCTGTAACTCATATCAATTCCAAAGATAACTGAAATGCCAACTATTTCTGTGCTCTGGTTATGAGGCAGATTATTGCTTGGCCTAAGCAAGTGCATTTTTGATGAGCGGAGCTATAAAATATGAATGAGAGTTATGAAATAAAGCATTTTAGCAGCACTGCTAACCTAGTCTTTCTTAAGGAGTGCCCTGAATTGCTGTAGTTTTGCCCTGCATGGATGTTGAGTCTGGGACCTGAAACTATTTTAGCTGCTGCACCCTGTGCCTGTGTGTGCTGGTTCTAAGTCAAGGCTGCTCTATATGGGAGACCTTGAAATGCTGGTGCAATGTATGTTACAAAGTGCTGGAGGATATAAATATTTTGGCATCCTCAGTTTTTGGGAGTGGGTGAAGTTTTAAAAGCCTTACATGCTAAATGATAGGTATTTGTAGGCTTTTTATGTTTGTCAGCTCTCTTGAAGAAGGTTCTGTCTCACTGTATTTACATTGTTTCCTGCCTCCCTGCTGTCCATGGCCTTCCATTGCACGTGGGCAGCTCTTCTGGGGTTGGCTCCCTTGTCTTGGTTTGGGGAAGCAGTGGTGTGTGGTGCTGAGGCTGAGCTGAAGAGGTCCAGCTAGACTTGCCCCATCTCAGAGCACTTTGTGCCTTTGCCGTTTGTCTCTGTGGTGCTGCTGGGGCACAGGGACACTCAAGGGGACACATCATGCCTTGCTGGTAGAGCTAGTAAAGCTTATTTGCCTTTACCTCTGTCAGGTCCTACATGTCACTTACAAGCTGCTCTCACCTCCCTGGCTGAAAACTGCTTAGTCAAATGAGCTAAACATGAAGTTACTTAACTTGAGGCTGTGGACCAGGTTGGCCTTATAACCTGTTTGACCTGTCTCTGCATCTCTTAGGAGTGCAGAAAAGATCAGCTGTACAGGAATAATGATAACTTTTTGGCATTAATAAAACACTTAGAAGATTTGTAATGCCATTAGTTGTCTTCAAGTCCAGTTGCACAGCATTTTATAATAGGTACAGGTCCTCTGCTTTGGCTGTAGTGACCTCTTCTTTGACCTTGACTGTCACAGCAGTTTGCAGTACTTACTGCTGTGTGGACCTGTGTAGACATTGGTCCCTGGCTTTGTTGAAGGCAAGGTTAGGTAAGAAAAGGCTTAAAAAAGGTCTGTATTTCTGAGTACATTTGCTGTAGGAAATTCCTTTTGAATGTCAGGACTTCTTTTCCCTTGCCAAGATAGATTAAATGTGTAGAACATTTGGCAGTGTAAAAATCTCCCCATAAATTCTCTTCTACCTAATTAGAGAAGATTGTTAGATCTGTTTGTGGAAACTTTGAAACTCCCCTCCCTCTTTCAGTAGCTGGAGGTAGTGAAATAAGCAAAAAAAAAATTGGTTTGCAAGGATTTTTATTAGAGAGCTAAGGCATGTGTTGGCTAGAAGTGTCTGTGCATTGTGCTTTTGTAAGTATGAATCAGCTGGAAGAAAGTTTTTGGTTCAGGTACATGACAACTCATGTTTTGCATACCATAGGAAGAATAAGAGCTCTCTGTGTTACATAGTCTAATCTTGTCTAATCTGTGTAATTTAAATGCTTTTTGTGTAAGGGAGTACTTAAGTTCCTACTGTAGTTATGCTTCAAAAGGGTTCTGTGGACTTTTTTGTCTTTTTAATTTTAATGTATTTGAAAGAACAGCTAACTTCATTAAACAAAAAAGTGCACAAGTAATAAATATGTGAAATAAACCAAGTTTTGTTTAATCAAGTTGGCTGCTTGCTTATCAGCTCATACTGCTGGTAGTGTTTATGAAAGTGAAGTTTTGCAGCTTGAAGTATAATTTTTTTACATCAAGTAGTTGTAATGAAAGTAGAGCCTCATCTGAAGAGCTTCATTATCGAACTACAGCCACCTTCAGCAATTTAACAACAGCCAAAAAGAGCGTGCAGGGGAGAAAGGAACAGGAAATGCTACTTTTGGGTTTCTAAATGCAAATCTTGAAACTTTGTTTTCGAGCTGAGGTTACTTTCCTTTTCTTGAAGTTGTGTCTCTGCTCAAAGCAGGAGGGCAGTATCAACAAATCTGTGGCAATTATGTTAAAGAGAACAAGAGAAAGAAATCTTTTGCCCCAGTCTAACACAATGTGAGCTGAAGAAACTTTTCTATGAATTTTGATACTTGACATCAGTTAGGATATAATCCAAATTCCCAGCACAAGTGATTAGGGAAAATGAGTGCTCAGTTATTTTCGCTTTTAATTTGCTATGCACTTCAGATTTTGAATATTCTCAGAACACACAAATGCAAAACCAACTGATGGTGCCTAAAAAAAGCCAAGTCAAGCCTCTTCAGGTTAAGCTGTAGACAGCTATGCACTGAAAGCAAATAGCTACTTTATCACTCAGATAAAGAACAACAGACTTTTAAAAATCCTTATTTGCCAATTTAAATACTTCCTGCAAAATTGTCTGTGTTTGTGCAAATGAACATAGGTGCTTATATGTTTTAAAGCTGCAGTTGGAAAATTTTGTAAATTTGGAGTTCTTTTCTGAATTCATTATAAACTTTTATTTTTCTCTTCTGATTCTCATTCTTTCTCATTGCATATTTTCCTGATG